TGGGAATTGGAAGTACTTCAGTTTGTCATCCGAAATGTTAGCTTCCATAATTGTGAAAATGTCTACATCATAGGTTTGTAGGATTTTCTGTACTTGGATCTTTTTGTCCGGAGACATTCCTCCAGCATTCCACTGGAGGATCTGAAGACGTTGTGATTCGCCCTGACGAGGGCGATTTTTCTTTTAGCCTTTTTTAAAGCTAATCATAATAAATCGAAGTCAAAAACGAATGCCGAGTAATAGACTTTTTTGCCGTAAGAAAATACGTTGTCCAGGGTGCACCACGTGGAGGTAAGTCTATCGCGCACCCCGGTACCCGAATATTGATTTCGGTTAATTTCACCTACACCAGTGATTACTACTCTACAAAGGACCTTTAAATGCGATACTGTCAATGCATGCGTTGTATCCCTCTCAATCGCTGCACTAAACAAGATCATTGTACTCCTTGGCATTCAATTTTCACCCACAATTACTCTGGCATTCCAGTCAGTAGTGGATAGACCGTGATACATTTCAAGCTGTTTTAAGGCATCGTTTTCCGTCAAAATGACATGTTTTCTCGTGTATTTCTTTTACCAAGTTTAACTCCCCATCTTTTTAATAGGGAAACAACTGTTGGTCAACTGGTAATCTAATGAAATGAGTATGCATTTCAATTGTAAAATTCTAAACCAAATGATTATTATGACAATTGCGAATTTGACAGGCATATCAACCGGGTGTATTTGCCATAGAAACAGTAAATGAATTATTGTTAGAATTCAAAATCATTGTATTTGGAGAATTGCCGACGCTTATAATAGTCTCTTCATGTTTTTAGACATGAGATACACGAAAGAAGTGGTTTGAAAATTTTTAAATTATTTCTATTAGTTGAGTGGTGAGTTTGAAATATGAGAGTCAAATAATTCTCTTTTACTTTAAGAGGTAAACTAAAGTAAATCATTAAAATGTCACTCAATTTATCCATAGTAGGGTCATTTTTAAATATGTCCTAGCAATGCTATTTGTCGCCTCCATCATTGACAACAAATAATATATTCCGCCAAGCTAAATTTCCATGGAGATATACAAGATCATCTGGTAACGATTCGCCTACTTACAGCCTCTTACTTTTCAACCATTTACTTGCTCCTTCCCAGTTGGATTATCGTGTAGTCTTTGAATTCTTTCAAGTGTTTACTCACAAATTATATGCGACTTTCATTTACTCGTCTCTTAAGCACAACTATTCACATCAATTTGAACTCTTGCCAATCAACACCACATAGTCCTTGCTTCTCATTTTAATATGCGTGCACTTACGTGTAATTAACGTGATATTGCCACCTTACCTGGTCCGAAAAAAAGTTTTTTTATTTCTAACTGCCAGCTCACAAGTAAAACGTAGTTTTCAAGAATGTATTCTTTGAGACCAAAACAAGAAGGCAAACCATTAAAGTATAGTAAAAGCTAGACCGTAGATATTAGCACATATTTGCCAGTTACTGAATTCTTTTGGTGAGGTAATTTCGGATTAGTGTCTGTATGGACCATAAGATGTCGGGACATGATAAAACAATTTTAAAACGAATGCGCTCAATATAACAGCTATAATAAAGAAGACATTAGAAAACATAGGAACGGTCAAAAATCGTTAAAATTAATAATTTAGACTTAGACCTTAAGAAAAACTGAATCACGTATTTTGGTAAGTCGCGGAAGCTAGTCGTTTTGCAATAAAGAATTTTTCTGACAACATTTCAGAATTCGGGTAATATTTAAATGATTTGCCAGTTGTTTATGCATATGAGGAAATAAACGGCAATTAAACAATTTTATAGCCTCCCATTTTTATTTAATTTGAACTGTTTTCTAATTAATTGCATTGCAGAACTGGAACCGTTCGAACTAAAACTGACGGCAATACTTTTTCATGAAACGGTAAGTTGAATATAGCAGGGATTATAATATGTGCCATATGAAAATATTTTAAATTGCCATTTTCTTTTTTAAATAGAAGATTTAGTTCGTTAAACCAAAATTTTAATGCCGCAATCCATATACTTTACCAACTGGAAGAAATAAAAGCATGAGATTTGGAATACATGAATACACCTATTGAACTAAATTGGTTGTTGAGGCATAGCGCAAAAATAAAATTAACTTGTAAATAAATTCATTTTGAGTTTTAGATTTTTTTCAATTTTTGCTCAGGTATAATCTTAATCCCCGCCCTAAATTATTTATTATTAATTCCTTGGTAAATTTGTTAAATAAAACAATCATTGAAAAATCAATGCGGTTGTGTTATATTATTTGCATATAGCAATCGATATTGACAAAACTTTAACGATAATATCTCAGATCATTATTACTGGAACTGGCAAAACCCACGGTAGTTTATATAAAACCATTTGATTAAATGGTAAAACGTTGAAGGGGTGGAGAAAATATCCATTAATTGTTCACTGGATGAATATTTAAAAGGAAGGAACGCATATAAAAAGCGAAATTCCCCTTGAAGAGATTAAATATTATTCGTTCATAATATAAAGATTCAAAACTTATGAATAATATTTCAGTTAATGACCAACACACGGATGCACACTCTACCTACCGTTAAATTAAATTGCTAAAATATTTACAAGATACGAATATAATTACTTCCAATTAATGGTTTTATATTACAAATGAAACAAAATCGTCAATATCTATTAAATGAAACTAAACTGTTTTTGCTATTATTGTCTATATCAATTTGTTTGACATCTTCACAGGGGAATATTTTAGGTCGTGAATGTTGAAGCGCTCAATGTGAATGATTTACTGTGGTGTGCGTTATTGAAATAGTGGATGTAATATATACTTTGTGATGGCCTTTAATTTTCCACGTAATTCTCCTTTATCATGAAGAATAGCCGATTAAAAGAAACATCAAATTTTCTGCAATCTGACTTTACCTCACAAAACTCTCTTTTTATAAATGAAAATTCTGCTTCCTTGAGTCGTTCTCTTCAATCACTCAGTGGACTTGGCAAATCTACATCTGCCGTCCGCCGTCTTAGCCCATGTATATTAAACCTCTCCAAGGCAATCGGAATGATTATTAACTTTAAGGTATTTGAAAGGCTTTTACCATTCAATTACAGGATGATGCCTTCGCTGCCGCTGCTAATGTTTCTAAACTGACAAGGTTATTGGATGTCAATACTTCAACAACCGAAAGTCATTACAATGCTTGTGTCATTCTACATAAGCTTGCTGATAGAGAAGCATCAAGAAACAGTTTAGCTTATTACCCTCAGGTAATCTTTAGTTTTTTTATAAATTTTCCTTATTATTTTTAGATAGTAGAGAGCTTAGTTCACTTGTTACAAACAACCCAAGATATAAACGTCCAAACGGAGGCCGCGATGGCCTTAAGGAAACTATGCTACGCTAAACCTACTGCATCAGCTGTTCGAAATGTTCTTTCTGTGGCCGACCTTGTGCAACTTCTTAGGTGACGCATTTTTTTCAATAATTCTCTTAGCTAAACTTATTTTTTGCATCCAATTCTTTCTAATATTTTGTTCTTTTACTTCTTAAATGCAATCTTCGATTATGTCTTACTAGATTGCATGGTGTAATATATATTTTAAAGTGGTTACTTATGTTAATTCATTTTGTTCCATATTCCTCCACATTTTAGTGCGCTCTAACAAATAAATTTTGGTAAATAGTAAACACGATGAAACACACGATTTTGAAATCGTTACGGAGATATTTGGCAACTTTTATAATCACTTATGTTACCTTGAGTGAATGTTTGGCATTTCGGTGAATACAAAGGCTATTATGCCACTATTCCAAAAAAATCGTACATGACATACGATATGTTTTAACTCGCTATGTTTCAATAATTACTTTTTAGTTCATTTTTTGCTAGAAAATTTGAATCTTCTTTTGAGGAAATCAGTGGACGGTGATCTTAAGTCGGCACGGTTCCCAGTAGACAGTTTCAAGCTTAGCTTGGGGGGATATTCTAAACTTCCACTTTCCTTGCGCCTGTAGTATTATCTTTTCTATTTTTTAAATAAATGCACAGGTACTAAATTTGTCTAACACTCTATCCTTATACCTTTCTGCTCTTGATGTCACAATCGAAATCGTGCGATAGTCCGGATTTTCTCTGTCAAGGAGTAGGCAATTTAACCGTGAGCTAGTACTTCTCGGTATCAATAATGAACAGAAATTTATTTATTTCAAATGGCGGGCTTTATGACACTTATCATTTGCCCTTTAGTTGACTTCGGGTTTCACAGAGGGAAGGAGAAACTTAAAAATGAGAAAAAGTGGAGAGGGTGGACAGAAGAGTGATTTAAAGATGTTAAAGAGACAGTCAGACACAAAAGCAGAGAAAAGGTAGGGTAAGTATGGCGGAAGTGATCGAATAAGACCTACAGTGGGATCATGGTAGTTTGAAGTCAGAAGTTAACTGCCGGTTTATAGATGGGTGATGGCAGTTTGAAGTGAGAAGTCAACTGCCAGTTAATAGACTTTTTTGCCGTATGAATATTTTGAAGTCAGAAGTCAAATGCCGGTTAATAGACATTTGAAGATGAGTACTGTGAAAGCGGTCGAATATGACAAGCAGTCGTGCCATGGTGAAGTCAGAAGTTAACTGCCGGTTTATAGACTTTTTTGCCGTATGAGAATGCGTTGCCCAGAATGCACAACGTGGAGGTAAGTCTATCGCACACTCCATGAAAAGAAATTGAAAGCTCTACTCTTTGAATGTATTGTAGAAATTCATGGCAAGATGAAATATTAGGGTTATGATTATATAAAAATATCAAGTCTACAAATTTGGTTGATATATGTATTTCCTTACCACTATATAGTCATCCTGCGGAGACAATATTTGTGACTGCGCTCTCTATTCTCCACCGGCAAATGCTCTTCATGCCCGAAGAGACGCGTCCTGAAGTGAAGTCGGCTGGAGGTCCGGTTCAGTTGGCCGCCCTTCTTACTCCAGAGAGACTTGCTGAGCCTGGTTATCTTGCAATTTGCGCTGACGCCCTTCGAATGACCGCCTACGAGGACCCGCAAATTAAGGTATGTCCTATGTTTTTCTTCTGAAAAGGTTGCTGTGTTTCGGAAGCCACTCACTTTCCCAAATTGAGACCTTTAATGGAGTCGCTACGAAGCCTTTGCTAGTGTGTTATTTAGATTGTGCTTTACTTATTCGTCCAGATTAGTTGATGTTTTTCTCTTCCTCATTGTTTTCTATTCTGCGGCTTATTGCTTACCTTGTGGAAGTAGGTTATCACAACATGGACGGTCTGAAATCGAATTGGTCCCTTTTCTATAAACTGTAGAGGCAAGCCCTAAATATGCATTATAATACCTGTTCTAACTTTTTATTTGCTCTTGATTAGAGAAATAGTTAATCACAGTCAAAAAAGAATAAAAGAAGTTTAAGAGATTGAATGACTGTTCAGTTATTTAATAAAATATATGCACCTATGTAGACTTGCTAATTTGATAAATGATTGGCTGTTTGCTTAGCCAATAATATCGGCGTTGTAGTCGTCACAGCTGTTCTTATGTTTTGAGACATGATCTTGGAAATTCAATCAAGTTGATGACCCAGTGTATAAAATATGAATTTCGAAAGTTTCTCTTAAGTTTAATGAAAGTATTTGATGAGGCCCTCCCAGCACCTTCCATTTTCAAAGTATTTATGACTGTGTGGCAAAATTATATTATTAGAGAGCCATTGCAATCTGTTTGTTTTGTCGCTCATTATATCGTGTATTATTAATTAGTTTCAATTTGCACACAGGACCTTCTTCTGTAATATATAGGTGCTCAGCGCATCTTGCTGTTAGAAGTGTTTGTTACTTGTACTTAATAAAATGTCAGAAGGCAGAGTATTATCATCCGTTTCAATAATGATCATGTCCATCATAATTTATTTATTTAACTTTACATTGGGCTCTAATTGATTGTCAAGTTATAACTTCATATTATACACACCTTACTTTCTGCCTATGTCTTAATGTTTAATAAATAAGCTATTGTGTTTCTTTTCATTCCTGGATATGGATAACGTTTTATTATTTTTTTTGATGAATCATTTCGACAAAGTACTTCATTCAATAGTGTCGCTAATTTAATTTCCTTTAACTAGTGCTCAAATTTGCAACGAACTCTTTTGTACTTAAAGTTAATAAAATTTGCCTATTACATATATTTTTTTCACTAATGACGTTTTATTGACACACTGGTGACATAGTCCTAAGCCCTCTCTTTCTTCAAGACAAAGACGAAAGCAAATAGCCTTTTATCGAATCTTTAAACTCTCCTTCGAATTGCCTTCTCCCTTTCTTCTCTACACTTTCCTCACTCTCTTGTAAACCGGGTACTCAATTGCATATAGGTAATGTCATCGACGATTCCATTACGATATTTGCAAATGATAATAAGAATGGTAGATCCTACTTGTATGTCTTCAACATTTGGAGAGATTTAATTATGCTAGTCTATCGATAAAGATAACAAACAAAAGGAAGTAAAGTTGAAATATGTTATTTAAATATCATGAGTCAGCATTTATTTATTTATTTATTTTATATGTAGTGGTCTTTTTCAATGACAATAGACAAGTTGTTGCTCTTCCCTAATTTCAACCCAATTTCAATGACAACTACCATTATCATTGGCTAATCTTTCCTAATTTCGATCTGGAATACTCATTAACATATGAGAGGCCACCCATCCTAAAAGTAAAGTCTTTATGAGTTGAAGCATTCATTTCCGCATTTGTTATTTTTGAAGTCTGTAAAATTTATTTTAAATGGCAGGCTATAGGATAATTATCGTTAGCCCTTTGGCTGACTTCAGGCTTCACAGAGGGGATGAACATCAAAGTGAGAAAATTTCGTGAAGGGGAACAGAAAAGTGATTCACTGATGTAAAAGAGATAGACAGACCCGAAGGTAGAGAAAGAGTAAGGTGAGTACTGTGAAGGGGTCGAATATGGCACGCAGTCGGGCCATGGTAGTTTGAATTGAGAAGTCAACTGCTGGTTTGATAGACGTTTTTGCCGTATGAGTATACGTTATCCAGGGTGCACCACGTGGAGATAAGTCTATCGCACACCCCAAGTCTGTAAAATAGAGATGTAAGATTTCCTTTACATATCTATTTTGCACAATAGAGACTGTTTGCGTTAAATTCATATATATTAAAGAAGTGCTAAGATGACATTTTAAATTTAATAATTTGCACGTCACTGGATATTGTCCTCATTGAGTGGCTGCGTGTTCATCTGTAGACTTCTATCCAACTCTAGTCTTGCAACTACCACCGCTCTACTGATATTTATTTATTTCAAATGCCAGGCGTTTCGGTAGTTATCATTAGCCCTTTAGCTGACTTCGGGCTTTACAAGGGGAAGGAACATCAAAGTAACAGGAAGTTGATGGGTGGGGAACAGAAGAGTGATTTACAGATGTTAAAGTGACAGACACAAAGGCAGAGAAATGGTATGGTGAGTACTGTTGAAGTGGTCGAATTTGACATAGAGTTGGCTGATGGTAGTTTGAAATGAGAAGTCAACTGTCGGTTGATAGACTTTTTTGCCGTATGAGTATACGTTGCCCAGGGTGCACCACGTGCTCTACTGATATAAAGACGACACTGTAAGTAATTCGCTTTAAACCGTTTTTTTTTGAAAATAGACCTCATGTACTTTAGTTCTTTTATAAATCGGGCTCAGTTAAGAGGCGCAATCTAACTTACCTGCTTGGTTTAAGAGTTCATGTGGTTTCTGCAACAAGTGTAAATGCAAAGTTTGTGTGTGTGTGTGTGTGTGTATTTGCGTGTTTACGTGTCGCCACTTCGTGTGTGAAATTTGCTGTTTCAAAGTATACGGTACATTGGTCGCACGCACACATGATCTCAAACGGTGCCACTTTGCTGATGAAGAATAAAATTAAGTGCTCACGCAACTTGCAGTGACACGGCGTCTCTCTCTCCAACCAAGTCCATGCCTAAACTTTGCGTTTACATTTTTTCATTGATCGCCTGTCAATCACCTTCTTTACTTATCCTGTCTTTTTTCTTTTGGCCAAATTAACCTTAACCCGTGCTTATTCCAAGAACTTACTTTCAGCTTATTTTGGCTTGCCGTTTGAAGTCATTTATCGATTTTCGCTCACAAGTGTAGGCGAGCTTTGTTCATACTTGCGCGCATTGCTGAAATGCAAAGGCGTCTAGTCGGAAGTGGCTTGAATGCGTGGGGTACTGGCTTATCCCAACGTACCACTCTCTGCGATTTTAGGTCCTCTTCTCTTGACAAGCTGCTATTTTATTAGACATTTTGGCCAGTTCGAGAGAATATTTACTCTTGGATCCCCTTTCACCATTTCAATTTCTGACTTTTGTGGTTTGAGACTCAAATTAAATCAGTTGTTGTTGGTCTATTTTTTGAAAAGGGAGCCATAGTTCCAATATCAATCTTGGGTCTTTTATTGGATTGGGGTTTTCAAAAGTGTTAACGTTATTGAAACTCTGTAGTAACTAGTTCCTCGTTGCTAATAACCTGATTGGTGAAATAAGGTGTGATAATTTATACCAATAAGATTAATAAAAATGGGATTTGTAATAGGGAAACCTTTAAATGTTTCTCATATTGCATTTCGGAGTATTTAATACTCGCTTTACATAAAGTCTGCATATTAATAGAGCACCAATATCTATCATTGAGCCATTTATCTCGACATACCTATCTTTCTCCCCGAAACATTGGTGGAACATCTATTTCGACTTGGAAGAAAATATTTAATCAATTCTGCGAATTAAACCGGTGATGCCCGGATTGTATAACCCTATTTACGGAGTTTTTTATTGGTTCCTCTCTCTTATTCTATGATCACATTTCATTCACTTTTTATGAAATTGCTTACACTTACGCACGCGACTTTTTTGGAGAAACAATTTAGATGCTAGTTCGTTTTGTCGTACAATAAAATAATTTTTATTTTTTTTCCTCTTTTGATGAAACCAGTCTCATATAAAAAAGGAAAAAAAGGCAGATCACTAGCACTGATAGACTAATGAAGTGTCTGAAAGGCAGAAATAATAGGCATTTGACAAACTCTGTCTGGTGTCTTGGGCCTATGAGGTGGGAGAGCTTCATTATAGCCGACAAGATTAAAGATTCAAATTGATTCGAAATATCACTATGCCTTTTTCGTATTGCCAGCTAATCCTATTGGACTGTGATATTGCGGAGAAAATAGTATATCTTCTGAATGCCTTTCGAAGCCACGAGAAACTTCAGCACGCTTTAACTCGTCTCATCAAGGTTTTAAGTGTTTCGACTGATTGTAAGCAGGGTCTTGTGGAAGCCGGAGCAGTACAAGTATGCTCTTTTTGATAAAATCAATTTTCATTTGCAATTATTAAATGATGACTCCTCGTTGTGGTCCATATTGCAGGCTATGACCGGATTACTCCATTCTAACCATAGCTCGTTGGTACTTGAAACCCTCTGGGGTCTCCGAAATTTGAGCGATCAAGCATTTCACTTAACAGACACTCGAGAACTATTCACCTTGCTTGTCCCCCTCGTCTCTTCTTCTGTTGAACATATAGCCATTTGCGCAGTTGGCTGTCTCTGCAATCTTACCTGTCAAAACGCATCTAACAAAGCAACTTTAATCGAAATCGGTCTGTTGTGAAATATACTGCCTACTTATTTATAGTCAATAGAAATATTATTTGCTATGAGATTTGGTTTTTAGATGGAGTTAGTGCCCTATGTGGTTGCCTTACCACATTCGTAAATCGAGACGAAGTGACTGAGCCTGTATGCTCCGCTTTACGAAATTTAACCCATCAAAACGAGCACGCTTCGTTGGCTATTCATCAGGTAGAGCTGTCTTCCTGTTTAACGTTTGTTTGCCTCTAGATTCACGACTTTGGAGTATTGAAAGTAATTGTAAGTTTTCTAAAGTCTGACCAATTCCCGGCCCATTTACCACTTGTCAAAGCTGTTACTGGACTCGTTCGAAATCTTGGCTTGTCTAAATCTTGTCGTCGTGATCTGCAGTAAGTTGTGGTCGCAAATTTACCATTTTCTATCCTGTCAATGATCCAAGACCAATTTTAATTAACGTATTTTCCTCCAGATGATTTAGATTTGGGTAATTTGTGCAACAGTTTGCTGTGATAACATCGTATTTTTTGGCTTGCATTAAATATTGTCAGTTTAACTGCAGTGTTTATATTACAATCTCAACTTACCTTACTTCTGTAAAATGCACTTTACTACCCCATTTCGGTACCATCCTCTTAAGGGTGAAGTGTGTAAGCAAATACCTGTTTGTTAATTTCAAGCGAATCCTTGTGTGGGTTGCGTGACATTTTATACATCATAGAAAGTTCTAGAAAGAAGAAGGCTATACTTGTTTGCGCGAATTTATATGCGATTGCCCTTACAAGAGCTTACATGGAGTTAACATTATGTCAACACCTGCTTGTGTCTCGTCTATTAAAAGAAAAACCTATGCATCGAAAGTGCTCTTCCAGCCATCTAGATTAATTGAATGTTTCGAGAGCTCTAGACACCATGACCTCAAATTCAGCTGGGAAACATGGGGGGGGGAGGTCCTGGGACTTGAGTGTGAGGACATTGGAAATAACTCCGATTTGTGAGCTTATAACCTGAATCATAATGCTGGCACCTTTCCTCTAACCACGCTTGACTGCTACGTTCCTTCGTGTGTCCGGATTTCTGTTCACAAGGAAAATTCTAGTTTTGTTGCTCTACAGTGTGTGGGAAGTCTTTTTAATTCCCGAGTTTCTGCCATTGTCGAAGTTAATGCAAAATATTGAAAGTAGACTCCGCTTCTTTGTATAAAAATAATAGTTTGACGCCATGTTTAAACATTAACTGCGGCACTAAAGAGTAATTAGTAATGCAAAAGAAACCTTCGATACTAAGTTCCTGCAATATTGTCAACTTGGTACATACCGTTGTGCATCGGAATTGAATTGCTGGTCATAGGTTTCACGAGAAGAATAGCTTCTGTTTTTCCTCTAACCTTATCAACTCACTTTGAATTTTCGTTAACATTTGCTGTGCTTTATTTCACATCGACTCTGGCCTTGATTGGCTTGGTTTAAACATCTTATAATGTTGGCAATCTGTGGATTCAAATCTTTGTGTCTCTTTGCGCTATCCGTACTAGTCAATCGCAGTTGGGTTCAATTTTAATCTTCATATCATTTTCCAGTCAATTAGGTGCGACAGATCGCTTGATCATATTGTTCCAGCGGGCTTCAGGAGTATTTGAGGAAGCTACGCAGCAACGAGCCTCTATCTTATCCAACTCTTCAGAGTTGAGTTATATCGAAGGAGTGCGAATAGAAGACTTTATTGAACTGCTTCTTGTCGCTTTACAATCAATGGCACAACACACAGCTGCTCGACTCACTATCATCCACTCACCTGAAGGTGTCTTTGCAAGTCTTGTTCAGGTTTGCACTACTTATTTGAAGTTTTGTGTCTCAGGAGAATTTACTCTACTATTCCACTTTTCCTCCAGTACTTATATAGCGGTTCTGAATACATTCAAAGGGCGTCTCTTGAATTGCTAAATGAGGTGACGCTGAGTCCTGAAGGCGCTATAGCTGTTGAACAAGCAGGAGCTGTGGCACGTATCACGGAACTTGTTCATTCTGATGATCCCAAAACAGGTTTGTATTTTGGCTTCACAATGGAGCAAAATAGTGTAGCTTCTGATTACTATGCTACTTGAATCCAGTTGCGGAAAATCGACTAATGTGATTTGTACTTTCTCCTTTACAGCAACCTACAGTGCCTCGATTCTCCATAGGGTTGCAGAGCACTTGAAACCAGCAGAGTATCAAAAGCGGTTATCCAAGGAGTTGAAGCATTGCCTTCGAGATGCGGGTGTCCTTCCAGTCAACTCTTCCCCAAGTCCAGCTGCCCCAGTGGCCTCTGCCAAAGTGGATGATATCACCGCTCCAACACCCCCTCGTGCTAGAACTCCAGCAATACCCCCCATTCCTGTTGCAAGCACAGGAAGTCTCACTCGTCGATTACCAGACCCACCCCAGAATGAACTACCTCTACCTCTTCCACGGTCTAGAAATGTTCCCAATGGGATAGAGAGTATTGAATGTAAGTGGACATCGTGGTCGTGGTATAATTCTAAATGGTCGTGCTTTGAGTTTAGAGAATTACAGTAGCAAAATTTGGCATCATTATTCGGGATATAGCGCAGGCGACCAACCATAGACGTGGATGTTCGACTTCAGTGTCTGTTAAAGATCTAAAGAAGGGATACAATTGGGATTCTTTCATTAATACTGCTCAGTATCCCCCTCCTTTTGCCTAAGTCAAGTGGTTTTTAGCAGCTCCCTTATTGGATTTCAAAAGTTAGTTTTAAACGTTCATCAAAAATAGTGTTTGTTTGATTATCATCTTGTTTGTTTATGCACTAAATACATTGGTATTCATAGACGGAGTTTTCATCTGGACCATTCATGTCGGTTCTGATCAAGAAATATGTAGTGACATGTAAATTCTCATCATAAATACTGTACCACTACTGTACACAAAAAATGTATTTTTAAGTGTACTTTGGCCAAATCACTTTGGGCTCCGAGGAGATTATTTTTTTCTATTGTTGCGCCATCAAGAAAGAGTTCATCCCTCTTGTCGATGCGTCAATCAGCGTCAATCGGATGTTATTCTGCTGTCATAAATTACCTTAGCCATATTGAATATAGGTTCAATATCGATGCTTCTGAACCTAGTCACAAAACTTGTTCCCTATGCTGTTGGCAAACACTTCTCTGTCATACAGTCTCATCAGTAATCTCTGCAATAGTAGTTCAGACGAATCGTCGGAAGTGGAGTTTATGTTCCAAAAATACCCCAAATATTTTTTATAATTGATTAAGAAGTAAATTTGCTTTCTTTTCTACTTATTTGCAGTTGAAGAAGATACAAAATGAAAATTGGCGGGTAGAAGTAATATTTCAAATTATTTATAATTATGTCGCCTCTAACAACTGTGTGCTTTTCATGTGCTAATTGTAATTTAAACATCTATAATAATAATAATAACCCAATCTCAAATCATATTTCTAACAATATTAAGAAATGCTTCATTCATGTTTAACGCACAACTTATTGCAGTAAACCATTAGCTAACTGTGGCATTGATTCTGAAGAATTCAATAACAAAAACCTGGTTACTAACCGAACTTGGTATTCATGAGTGTAGACTGATTGGAAAGGGGACGG